GCAGGTCTCAACAGAGCCATTTTAAGACCCGGGCAGCTCTAAGTTACATAGTTACATAGTATTTGAGGTTGAATAAAGACATTAGTCCATCAAGTCCAACCTATTAGGATCTCATTCTAGGAGTACCTGTACCCCTGTATATTACCTGTACCCCTGTATATTACCTGTACCCCTGTATATTACCTGTACCCCTGTATATTACCTGTACCCCTGTATATTACGGTCCCTTAAGAAATCGTCCAAAAGTTTCTTGAACAATTCAACATTATTTTCTGAAATCACCGCCTGTGGCAGTGAGTTCCAGACCCTAACTGATCTTACTGTCTTAAGTCACATGGTCTCACTTCTTACGTGTTCATAGAGGTTTGTTGGAACCTTCTAGTTGTCTTCCTTTCTTATGCTCATCTTCTGGTGTCACTCTTAGTGGTGCAACTGCAGTGTTTCCTCGAGCAACCTTCTGATGTTCTACAAAGACACTTTAGCTGCAGTAATGCTCTTCAGATTGCAGGATTAGCCAGCTCATTGGCCGGAAGCATGGGCAGTTCTAAGTGCAACTAAAATGATGATCCTATGCTGGTAAAGGTCTCTTTATCTGGGCTCGGGAGTGATCGGGAGATGCAACAGACTCTCTCAAGCTTGTAGCATGGAATGTCCATGTACCATGTCCTCTGTGAGGTTAATGGAGGAATCTATTTGAAACTGGATATAAAGGAAATATCATCCAGTCCGGGTTTACATCTACTTTCATATGGATTTTAATTACTCTGGATAGCTTTGTGATGTCATTGGATGACTTCGGCCTTGAGTTCATTGGAGGGGTTTGGGGGTATTTAAAGTCCATTGATAGTTCTGCAGAGACATTGGTTGAGTTACCCATCAAGATGACAATGTTATCACACATGGGAGTATAATTGTATTGTTTTGGTTGTATTGACTGCATGATATTTCAGCTCTAGTAGCTCCAACATCAGGGCAAATGAGAGCTTCATTGCTGAGATCTCTGTTCTGGAGTCCCAGCTCCGCCCACCTGCCGCAGACACTGGAATAGGCTTTCACCCTCTGGCACTTTCTATGGCAGGGTTGGCTAGGCTAAGAGTTGGAGAGATCACTCTTCACTCATAGAGAAATACACTGTACATCTCACCTACAACATGGACCGGGCCAGTACAAGGATTGCAACCGTATGAGCAGGGCTGGATTTATTCCCTCTACTGCCCCAAGGCCAGGTTCCTCGATGCGCCCTCCTATCCGCCAAGCCCCCCCATGGAGAATGGCCGACCTGCAGGCTGCATACAAGTGATCTTGGCGACATTGCCGAGATCACTTGTACAAAACAAGTGACGGCTTCCCCGCTGTACATTTAGCTCTGCTTGCCCAAAGCCGGGCTATATGTAGAAAACTACTACCCGCCCGGCACCCGGAACTGCATGTCCCAGACATCGGGAGATAGGAATTCCACACCCCTGCTGCCCCTCTACTCCCTACTGCCCCAAGGCCGGGCCTTGGTTGGCCTTGTGGGAAATCCGGCCCTGCGTATGAGTGAGACGTTCACTGCTGCAGCATGAAGAGGGAGCCGAGAGTTTCAGCGTGAAGAATATAACAAGCCAGTCAGAAATACGTCAGCTTTGGTTGATCTGATTCTTTGGATATTCCCCGGAGGACATTGAAAACAAATTTAGAACGAAATGTCCGCGTTGTTTGTTGATTTCTAAGCAATGAAATATTTGTCTGGTTGCGTTGGCCACGCACTGTGGTGTACAAGGCATTCCTGACAGATGAAAATACTCCAATATAAAGAGAGAGTCAAGGCCAAGGACCTTCCACTTGACCTCAGCAGGGGAAACCCTTGAGGGACTCCATGAGGTCATCTCATGTCACGTTGTCACATCACATTGTGTCCATGGGGATCCCAGCTGTGATAGATCTTCTATGAGCGTGGAATATCTCCTCGCTTCATATTGTGAGACGACTAAGCCAAAGCTGGCTGGCAAATATTTTGGAAAGTAGAGGCAGCGGAGGAACTTCCTATGCTCCTCAGCTCCGTCTAGTGGTGGTCAGGGTTGGTGCTGCCACTAGGCAAACTAGGCCATCGCCTGAGTCGCAGCCAGGGCCGGACCCTTTTGCTGCCACTGACTTACGTTGTACGTTGTGGCAGCGTGCGGTGTTATGGGAGTTCTTTGGTATGGGGGGTTGTTGTTATGAGTGTTTTATAGGATTCCTGAGGTATGGGGTGTGTTATGGCAGTCCTGAGGTAATGAGGGTGATATGTGGTGGTCCTGAAGCTTTGGGTCAGCAGGGGTTATTTTAGCGGGGGGGTTGGGCGCCTGTTTCGTGGTTATTTGTTGGTATGTTACCCTCAGTAGGGTTGTTGGGTCGTGTGATGGGGGCTAGGGGAATGTGATTTTGGGGGAGGGTGTTTGGGGTGTGTAATGGGGGGAATGTTGCAGCGTGGGTAAACGGGCCACTGTTGGGGTCAGCGGGTGATAGCGGCAGGGGGGGTACATTGTGGTCAGTGGGAGACAACAACGGTGGAGCGAGCGGCCTCCTAATTAGAGAGCCACCTCAGCTGCTTCCCGTCTGACGGGCCAACAGTGCTAAGGGGGTGCCCATGATGCTCTTAATCCGGCCCCGGGCGCAGACCCGATCAGCGGCTTCCTCACAGGATCGAATGATGAGCCCTGGAGACAAAGCCGTCTACTGCAAACTTCAGCCAATCCGTGATGGGGGGGAAGGGGGATTGCAAGTAGCTGGTCTTGCTTGCGGCACAAAATAGTCTAGCACCGGCCCTGGTGGTGGCAATGCAGAAGGAAACGTCATTCGCAGTGGCGTCACAAGGGGGGTGTGGGAAGTGCGGCCCGCTCCCGGGGACACCATTGGAGGAGTAATAGCTTGACCATTGGAGGGGTGACACCAAAATGACTCGCAGTCATTTTGGCGTCAGCCCCCCTCTGAAAAGTCTTCTCATTCCTCTGCCGGCCTCCATCACCAAGATGGCCGCCGGCAGGTAACAGTGGTACCGCGCGTGACGTCATCACGGGCACGCGATGGCGTCACTGCGGGGTGTCACCCGGTACCCGCACCGGGTGTCACCCCGCCTCGGGACGCCTCTGGTCATTCGCCCAACTTTATGGCGGGTGGAAGATTTCTACATCAGTCCCTTGGTGTGAACTCTGGACCTGTAAAAGCTTTTACAATGTTGGACAATTTGGGGCGCACACAATTTTACGGCTTGACGTGTTTGGTATCTCTATACTCAGTGCGAAGAAATCGATTATTATTTTGTGTTTGAGTGCACCAGAAGCATTATGAGAGCATGTTTTACACTGAAAACTATAGATTTGATCAACGTAAAAAAGTCGCAACTGCTACTATTTTATTGTGCAGGGTCTCGGCTTTCAGAAAAATGTTGTTGGGGTTTAAAGTAGTATTCAGGCCCAAAATGTCACCTAATAGTCTTCCTGTCCCCCCTATTGCTTGTATAGGCTTTGCAGGGATAGGAAGTGGTGTCACAGACAGAAATCAAGGGATAGCAAAAAGTTTCCAGGCACACTCACCAGCCAGCATGCAAAAAAAATTGTCTCACCGCTAAGGTTAAAAACAGAGGTTTAGATACACGTCTACTGCAGAATATAGGGAAGCCGCACAGCCACGTCAAGGCACCTCCATATAGTGCGGTGCTAACTCTAAGCTATGAGAGTCTCCATCTTGGAGCACATGGGGCAACAGATAAAGTTGGGTGCAGGTTTGTCAGGAGGAAGCCCAATCTCCCTTAAAAGCAAGATGGAGAGGTGCCTTGGCGCGGCTGTGCGGCTTTCACATATTCTGCAGAAGACGTGTATCTAAACCTCTGTTTTTAACCTTAGCGGTGAGACAAGTTTTTTTGCATGCTGGCTGGTGAGTATGCTGGGAAAACCTTTTGCTGTTACTGTTTAAAGCCCTTCCATGTGCACCTTGATGTAAAGATGGTAACAAATTGAGAAATCGGGGATGACACAATCATGTAAATCCTGGCTGTGTTCATAAACGTCTGACACAGATTAGACCCTGCAGAAGCTTCTCACCTTGGCTTGATGCTACCAAGTAACAAGTTTGCAGTCTGATCCCTGTGGTTGGGGAGAGAAGGGAGGAATGAAGGAAAGGAAAATGCTTCCTCCTGCCTGCAGCAGACTGATGACATCCTCTCAGCCCAGGCAAAGTCACTGACTGGGGCTCAAGGACAACTTTCTAAAGAAAAAGATGGAGCTGTTTGTTTTACTTTAATGATAATGTTCTTGTGCGTTGTGCATGGAAGGAATATGAAAACCTTACTGAATGGTCCACTTAAAGCAATGTGGACCAAATGCCTTTACAAGCCCAGATATTACATTGTAATATTAGCAGTGACATCATCACTGTGCTCTACGTAGCCTGTGCAAAGAGCAGAGCTGTTGGAGGGACCTAGCAGGCACCACCCACTGCAGGAGGGGGGTGGAGACAAGGCCAGTCACCTTGCACAAGGAAAAAGAGAGCAGCAGAGAACGGTCTTTATTACAGGAGGGGGCGGAGACAAGACCAGTCACCCTGCACAAGGAGAGCAGCACGTCTTTATTACAGGAGGGGTCGGAGACAAGAGCAGTCACCCTGCACAAGAAGAGAGAGCAGCAGTGACCGGTCTAGGAGGGGGGCGGAGACAAGACCAGCCACCCTGCACAAGAAGAGAGAGCAGCAGTGACTGGTCTTTATTATAGGGGGGTGGAGACAAAACCAGGGAGGAAGGAGAGAAGAGAGGAAAAAAACTTTACTTTGAAGCCATGGAATATTTGTGTTGCGTCAGTTAAATGGTCAGTAAATGGTCCTTCATGAATGGTCAGTCACATGACAAATACCCATGTTTGTGTGTGTGTGTGCGGCTTGCATTAGAGTTCGCTTGCAGAGTTCCACCTAAAAACCTCCAAAATGTAAACAAAAAATGTTTCTCTTTGTTGATTTTGGGATTAACAAAAGATTTCTTGTTATTTCAGATCTGAATTGGGTGAGGATTCTCCTCTACTGCATCATCTTCCTTCTCAGCGTCTTTGGGAATACTCTGATCATCATCGTTCTCGTCATGAACAAACGCCTGCGCACCGTCACCAACTGCTTCCTACTTTCCCTGGCCGTCAGTGACATCATGGTGGCCCTTCTTTGTATGCCCTTCACCCTCATCCCTAACCTCATGGGCAATTTCATCTTTGGAGAGGTCATCTGCAAAATGGCCGCCTACTTCATGGGTGAGAACAACCCCCTCCCCTCCATATGGACACCTGACCCTCACACCTATAGGAGCTTGTTGGACGTCCTATTGCAAAACCATTGCCATTAATATGGAACTCTCCTTCTTTGTGGTCTTGTTTCTTCTGGTAACACTTTTCACAAGATGGTGGAGTTCTGTGTGTGGGAATCTGCGCCCATTTAGCCAAAAGAACATTTGTGAGGTCAGGTACTAACAACCAATGTTCCAGGTCATCCCAAAGGTGCTCAGCAGGGTTTAAGTCAAGGCTCTTCTGCAGAAACTCATCACACCATGTCTTTCTGGAGCTGGCTCTGTGTACAGGGGCACAGTCATAGTGGGACAGAATAGGGTCTTGCCTAAATTTTTTGCACAATTATCTAAACTGTCCTTTTCTTGCTGTAGCGTTAACAGAACCCTTTACTGGACACCAGAACTCAGTCATTTGGAGCTGTATCCACTATCTTCTGACCATATATTAGGTGTGATAGTCAGGTGTCCACAAACCTTTTTGCATGTAGTGTTTTTACCTGCTCCTGCCCTGTAGCTACTGAGATAGACTATTCCTATGCACTTGCTGAAGTTTTCCTAAAAGGAGAGCTATATGGCAAGCTCTCTCTTTCCAAGTACATGTTCAGTCCCAGTGTTGTAATAAAGAACAATGTCCCCCAGCATCCTTAAGAGTCTAGACAGTTAGCACCCCATGCAAATAGAGAATCATAAGAGCAATGCTAGGGATAAGGGTAAGTTGACCCCAAGCTCTAGTGAGCTTCTGCAATGCCGATTGGTGATCTACCAGATGGTCTTTTGTACAATGGAGTTCTGTTAGTCGTTTTAGGAAGCATTTCCTAGCTGCAGTTTGGTACTACCTTAATTGGTCAATAAGGCTGTAATGGTCAAGTAATGTCCACCATGGAGAGGATTGCTGACCACCTGAATGAAGTTAGGTTTGATCTTGATTGTTGGAAATTAGTGTAAGGGCAGTATAGAGGAGCATGTTCAAAGGTTCTCAGTTCCATTCAGCCTGCATTTCAGATTAGTCTGAGGTGCTTCTGACTTCCATTTCAGGTGCATTTGACTTTCAGATGACCTCCTCCTGACCTGCAGTTGACCTCCTATATCCTTCAGTTAACCTACTATGACCTGTAGTTAACATCTTAGGACCTGCAGTTGACCTCCTCCTACCTGCAGTTGATTTCCTATGGCCTGCAGTTGACCTAGTATGGCCTGCAGTTGGCCTAGTATGGCCTGCAGTTGACCTAGTAAGGCCTGCAGTTGACCTAGTATGACCTGCAGTTAACCTAGTATGGCCTGCTGTTGACCTAGTATGGCCTGCAGTTGGCCTAGTATGGCCTGCAGTTGACCTAGTAAGGCCTGCAGTTGACCTAGTATGACCTGCAGTTAACCTAGTATGGCCTGCTGTTGACCTAGTATGGCCTGCAGTTGGCCTAGTATGGCCTGCAGTTGACCTAGTAAGGCCTGCAGTTGACCTAGTATGACCTGCAGTTGACCTAGTATGGCCTGCTGTTGACCTAGTATGGCCTGCTGTTGACCTAGCATGGCCTGGAGTTGACCTAGTAAGGCCTGCAGTTGACCTAGTATGGCCTGAAGTTGACCTAGTAAGGCCTGCAGTTGACCTAGTATGGCCTGAAGTTGACCTAGTAAGGCCTGCAGTTGACCTAGTATGGCCTGCAGTTGACCTAGTATGGCCTGCAGTTGACCTAGTATGGCCTGTAGTTGACCTAGTTTGGCTTGCAGTTGACCTAGTATGGCCTGCAGTTGACCTAGTATGGCCTCATTGGCCTGCAGTTGACTTCCTATGATATGTAATTGATCTCCTTACCTACAATTGTACTCCTCCTACGGCTTGCAGTTGACCTACTATGACCTGTATCAAGCCTTTCAATATTCTTTGACTTGTTCGGGGGCAGAAGCAGTTCTGACGCAAACGATAGCCCCTAACTCAAGCCCCAAATAAATCTCTCTTAACTGAGGACTGGCTGTGTATTTGTGGAAATATATCTATTGGCCCAGCCACTGAGCAGATCCTTTGTTTCCTCTCTGTACAGGGATCTCTGTCAGCGTCTCTACTTTCAACCTCGTGGCCATCGCCATTGAACGCTACAGTGCCATCTGCAACCCTCTGCAGTCCCGCGTATGGCAGACCCGCTCCCATGCATATAAGGTGATCGCTGCCACCTGGACCCTTTCTATCATCATCATGATCCCATATCTGGTCTACAACAAGCTGGTCACCTTTACCATGAAAGAGAACATCGAGGGCTACCAGTGCCGCCTCAAGTGGCCCAATGACCAGGTGCAGCAGGCATGGTAAGATGTCCCTGGCATCCTTTTGTATGTGAATAACTGCTGCCAGTGGCGGCCATGGTTGTCTTCATGGTCAGAGTGTGTAGAGAGACAGTCTGCACCCACATTGTATAATATTGTTCAGAATAGCAAGAGTTTCTCTGGGGCAGAGACTAAAGGGAATGGCTCAGTGTTCTCTGTACAGCACTGCGGAATATTTACATTATGACACATTATATATTTACACTGTATTGCCAAAAGTATTGGGACGTCGGCCTTTACACGCACATGAACTTTAATGGCATCCCAGTCTTAGTCCGTATGGTTTAGTATTGAGTTGGCTCCGCCCTTTGCCGCTATAACAGCTTCGACTCTTCTGGGAAGGCGTCCACAAGATTTAGGAGTGTGTCTATGGGAATGTTGGGCCATTTGTGAGGTCAGGTGCTGATGTTGGAGGAGAAGGCCGGGCTCGCAGTCTCCACTCTAATTCATCCCAAAGGTGTTCTATCGGGTTGAGGTCAGGACTCTGTGCAGGCCAGTCACGTTCCTCCCCCCCTCCCCCATCCATGTCTTTATGGACCTTGCTATACCGTTCTCCTGGCTACCGCCAAACCCAGACACATCTGGCCTACGTGGCCTACCACTTCATGGCTGAGTTGCTGTTGTTCCCAGTTGCTTCCACTTAGTTATAATCCCAGTAACAGGTGACCGCAGAATATTTAGTAGCCAGGAAATGTCACTGATTCCACTTATTCCACAGGTGACAACCTATCACGGTACCACGCTGGAATTCACTGAGCTCCTGAGAGCGACCCATTCTTTCACAAATGTTTGTAGAAGCGCCTGCATGCCGAGGTGCTTCGTCCTATACGCCGGGGGCCATGGAGGTGATTAAAACAGCTGAATCCAATGATGTGGAGGGATGTCCCAACACTTTTGGCAATATAGTGTATATATATATACAGGAGGCTGCTGGTTTGGTGCTATAGGGGAGTGGTAGATAGTGAAGAATCATACATTGAATTCATATTACACCGTCCTTCTTCCTTCTCTGATAAGCTCTACTTCAGCTGAGTAATTGTGTACTCTGCGCTCTACCAGGTGAGGGCGGTGGGTCAGGGAATGAGGTTGGGACAAGGACATCAGCACCTCTACTGAATGGCAGATAAGCTGCTCTTAGTAAACACAGACCGGAACAGCAGAGGCCGAAACATAACTGGAGGCCACATACCAGAAGCCCATTATAAACACTGAGTGTCCGGATTATTATATACACCGAGTGGCCGGATTATTATACACCGAGTGGCCGGGTTATTATATACACCGAGTGGCCGGGTTATTATATACACCGAGTGGCCGGGTTATTATATACACCGAGTGGCCGGGTTATTATATACACCGAGTGGCCGGGTTATTATATACACCGAGTGGCCGGGTTATTATATACACCGAGTGGCCGGGTTATTATATACACCGAGTGGCCGGGTTATTATATACACCGAGTGGCCGGGTTATTATATACACCGAGTGGCCGGGTTATTATATACACCGAGTGGCCGGGTTATTATATACACCGAGTGGCCGGGTTATTATATACACCGAGTGGCCGGGTTATTATATACACCGAGTGGCCGGGTTATTATATACACCGAGTGGCCGGGTTATTATATACACCGAGTGGCCGGGTTATTATATACACCGAGTGGCCGGGTTATTATATACACCGAGTGGCCGGGTTATTATATACACCGAGTGGCCGGGTTATTATATACACCGAGTGGCCGGGTTATTATATACACCGAGTGGCCGGGTTATTATATACACCGAGTGGCCGGATTATTATATACACTGAGTGGCCAGATTATTATGACCACCTGACGTTTGTAGGCAGATTAGCTATAATTTGGCGCTGAAGTTCTCATTGTTGGCTCATTGTTAAAGTGTTTAAAGACCGGACTGTCAGCCGAAAATCTGGGTCTGAGCGTGCGAATTGTGGCCGTCAGCGACTAGTCAATGTTAGGGCAGAACGGGGGAGGGGCAAGACTGGTACAAGACAACAGAAGGGCGACAGCGCCGTGTCAGATTCCTCGCATCACCTTTCATCATCTCGTGGAGTCACCAGGCGGCCCAACGAAGTACTGATGGGGGGGGGGCATAATAATCTGGCCACTCGGTGTATTTACCGAAAGCAAAGGAAGCCGGTGGAATAAAGTGACGGTAGTCTCAGTCAGATGGATGGATACCAAGTATGTCAAGACCTAAAATGCAAAACAGTGACAAGGTGGAGAAGACATCATCCGCCCTTCTCCTTCTTCTTCTTCACCTCAACCTATCGGAGAATGCTTTGTATTCATTGAAATAAATCCAAGGCGCTCTCGGAATGGCGGTGGTGCAGAGGGAGCGACTCCCTGTGTTCGGAGGGGAAGGTGTTGGGGCCGATCCGGTTCAGCTCTAAGACTGAATTTTTAGGCTCCTCCTGTTACCGGCTATTTTCATGTTGAAATATGTTTCTTGGTGTCCTCAGGTACGTCATCCTGCTGACCATGCTCTTCTTCATCCCGGGCGTTGTCATGATCGTGGCCTACGGGCTCATCTCTCACGAGCTCTACAGAGGGATCCAGTTTGAGATGGACCTGAACAAAGAGGCCAAAGGTAACTGATCGGTGGCAGCCAGTGCTCGTTCTGTTTTTCCTCCGCAGATAGTTAATACTTCAGGACCAGATAGAAAACACGGCCCTGCCTTCCAGTAATACATCTGCTTGTGGGTGGAGCTTAGCGGAAAATGCAAAATGGCCATAATCTGTTATATTAGATACAAGACTGAGAGAAGCAACAGCTGGTAAGCCCGGAGACGCCGACCAGCTCACACGCGTACAAATGCCGGAGATGATCAGGATGGTGTCCATTTCCAGTTTCAATTCACCAAATGCTCCTTCCCAGTGACCTCACAGACAGTTCTTATTTCAGACATCAGAGACTTACTGGGAAATTCCTCCTTTCTGGTGCTCCATGGGCCCAACACAGAGCTCTGCACTTTGCGGCAATCACTTAGGCTCCTTAGAGACACTGCCACCTTGTCAGTGCAATACATGGCGACAGTGTCCCAGAAAGGGCATCCCAGGACCCAGTTATATCCACCTTCTCTGCGCTCTCTCTGCGCTCTCTCTGCGCTCTCTCACAGCTCTCTCTGCGCTCTCTCATAGCTCTCTCATAGCTCTCTGCGCTCTCTCTGCGCTCTCTCTGCGCTCTCTGCGCTCTCTCATAGCTCTCTCATAGCTCTCATAGCTCTCATAGCTCTCTGCGCTCTCTCATAGCTCTCTCATAGCTCTCATAGCTCTCTCATAGCTCTCTCATAGCTCTCTGCGCTCTCTCATAGCTCTCATAGCTCTCTCATAGCTCTCTCATAGCTCTCTCATAGCTCTTTGCTCTTCTGCAGCTGGTGAGAATACTCTGCGCTCCCCGGTGTGAAGGATCATGTGATCTGCTCTACCATAAAGGTGCCTTTGCCAAGCAGCCGAGGGCTAAGCGCTGTCACATGACTGTGGTAGTAGCATCACCCCTCCCCTGAGGTGTCTACACAGCCTGATCTCAGCACCGGCTGCAGGGGAAGTGCCAGAACGAGGTCCGTTAGCAGCCAAGGCAAAAAGGTGTCTGTGTAACAGTGTATCAGAGAGCTGTCAGTGCAACAATGTATCAGAGAGCTGTCAGTGCAACAATGTATCAGAGAGCTGTCAGTGCAACAATGTATCAGAGAGCTGTCAGTGCAACAATGTATCAGTGAGCTGTCAGTGCAACAATGTATCAGTGATCTTTCAGTGCAACAATGTGTCAGTGATCTGTCAGTGCAACAATGTATCAGAGAGCTGTCAGTGCAACTCATCCGCACAGTAGTCCTAGCACAACAATGCATTAGTGAGATGTCATTGTAACAATGTATCCGTGAGATGTCAGTGCAACAATGTATCAGAGAACTGTCAGTGCAACAATGTATTAGTGAGCCAAAAGGATGTTTCGCAGCACGTACCTCCCTTTCCCTCCTATACTGCCAATTGATGGCAGAGGGAGGCGGAGCACGGAAAGAGAGGGGGGATGGGAGAATTAGAGGGGGGATTTAGACTGACACTGCTTTGTTCTCTTGCACTCTACTGGAATGATACTGCCCGGGGGCCACCCATAGGGAGCGCCTGCTGAGCCCGGGCCTGCTATGGGAGTGATGCCCATACCCCCTATCAGCGGCCCTCCACCCAGGTCTCCAGGACTTCTTTTGTGTTGTTCCCTCTCTATGGAACTCCCTTCCCCATGACATGAGGCAACCTTCCCAGACCCGTCCATTCAGGAAAGTGAATCATTTTGATGCATCCGTATTTCTCGCATTGTAGAAGTCACACATATCACAAAGCACGAGGAGAGATAGAGATTCTTTTGTTCTATATTTCAGTCTTTTTGCTGCATTCATAATAATTCATATTTTTTTTTTTTTCTTAATGCTCAGCCCTCAAAAATGGAGTGACGACGGGACTAACGACGCCGGCCCCCAACTGCGACGAGGGTGACGGCTGCTACATCCAAGTGAACAAACGCCGTAACACCATGGAGATGTCCACGTTGACCCCCGGCGGCTGCAGCAAGATAGACCGGGCGCGGGTCAACAATTCCGAGGCCAAACTCATGGCCAAGAAGCGGGTCATTCGCATGCTGATCGTCATCGTGGCCATGTTCTTCATCTGCTGGATGCCCGTCTTCGTCGCCAACACCTGGAAGGCCTTCGACGAGGAGTCCGCGTTCAATGTCCTGTCTGGGGCCCCCATCTCCTTCATCCACCTCCTGTCTTACACGTCGGCCTGCATCAACCCCATCATCTACTGCTTCATGAACACGCGTTTTCGCAAAGCCTTCCTGGGAACTTTCGCCGGCTGCATCAAGCCTTGCCGGCGTTTTCGCGAACCGGAGGAGGATGTAATAGCCACCGGAGCGTCTCTTTCCAAATTCAGCTACACCACCGTCAGCAGTCTGGGTCCTCCATGAGCGGGAAGGGGGGGGGGGGGGGGGGGCAGGTGATGGGAG